AACATCCCAAAATTTTAAATCCTTAAAATCACCCGCTCAAAAATATTTTCAAAATCTAGTTTTAAAAACTATAAATCAGTTGAGCTCTATTACCTCTTTTCAAATCTTATCCACTACTCTATATATTTCCCGAACTTATATCCCGTAGCACCAACATCCAAATTTGATTTGGGTTGTATTTGGTTCAGATATCGTTCTTTGGTTCGTTTATGTGAGAGAGAAGTACTACTGGCTGGTTCATATGAACAGTATCCATGAGAGAGGGCTGGCCATCCCAGCCAGCCCCAGCCGAACACGCTGATCATCCGCTCCTCCCCACCTCTCTCTCTCTTCGCTCGCCCTCGCGAAACGCGGCGCATGAGCCGCCCCACCACCCCGCCAGCTTGGCATCATCCGCATTGTCCATGCCCAGACCCCCCACCCTCGCCGACCCGCGGTGCTCACGCACCACCACGACACGTGGGCCCCACCACCTCGCCTCGCCGTTTGTGCTGTGGGACCCATCCTCCACTCCTCTCCTCTTCCTTCGGTTGAATCAGCAGAAGCACCAGCACGCAGCGCAAATACACATGCATTCAAGCAGGCGCCATGCACCATGCAGCGTGCGAATTCATTGCACTCGTACGAGCAGCACAGCAAGCGACAAGCACTCGCACAGGAAGCCCGCCGCACAGCCCTGCTCGCCTCGTCCCGTCGCCCTGTGCCACGCCAGAGCTAGTTGGCTACACCATCGCCGCCACCAGCTGCAGCACCTCCAAAGAACGCCGCCCTGCTCTACTCATCTCTGCCGCACCATCACTCCGCCTGCACGCTCAGTCGCCTCAGCGCCACCGTCGTCGCTCGCAAGCCGACACTCGCCTGCAGTGCCGCCATTGAAGGCGAGTTGCTGTGCTCACCGGCCAACCACCCTCCTCCGGCCTATAAAAGCCGACGCCGAGCAGCACTCCATCACCACCCGAGCTCGCCGAGCCATCCCGTGACGCTGCTCACCTTACCCACCCGCCGCCCCCCCCCCCCCCCCACCCCCCAAATCGAGCTCCCTCTGTTTTCCCGAGCTCCATCTCCCTCTCCGAGCCGTAATCCACCGAGGTAGCACATCTATGAGCTTCCCCTCGTCCTCCTCTCACTCCCCATACTCTTGGATTTGGAAACGATGGCCGGAATCGCCGTCAGGCGAAGGTCCAGCAGCTGTCCATGGCGGACGAGCTGAAGAGCACGGATACTCCACAGCAGCAGCATGTCCTACGCCCACGTGCTAATAATAAGCAAAGCAGAGAACCACCTCAGCTCCTCACGTCAAAATCCAAGACTAGTAACTTGCTAATCTAATTTCTTAACCTCGCGTCCCCGTGCATCAGCGCCATGTTCGTTTTGTATTTTTTTTTAGCCAACGAATATTATTTTTCTCTCATAACAAATTAATCAACGGTACTTAGTCAAATGAACAGGGCACTTATCTCTGATTCCACCATTTCTTCTTTCTAATTTCGTCTAAAATCAAACTCTATCCATCCATGAAGTTTCATAACTTCAAGAGCTCATTTGAATTTATGTGATTATTTATCTGTGTTTGTTTGTCTGTTTGATTGCTTACGCGTTGTTAGCCGATGGAGTGACCGAGGAGGCAAACGACGATCTCGATGGCCAGGACGAGTTTGGAGGCGAGTACCACGAGTTCGACGCTGAGGACCCGAAGTACCAGCAGGAGTTTGCCGAGGACGCCGACGGAGGCAAGTCCAATCTATTTCCCCTTTGATGCATGTTGATCCTATTTTCAAACACAATCCGTAGAAGCCGTTTTAAATATTGCATGTACGATTATACGTACGAAGTATTTTCGCTGCTTAGCTAAAGCCCGCTTGAATAGCCATCCTTGAATTGATATGACCTAATAATTGCCTTGCTCAAACTTAAGAATAAATATCACTGACATGACAAAATACTGTTATTTAGTATGCTTAGGACTTGATATTTGTCACGGATACTCTAAGTTGATGATTCATCTTGCCTAACTTATTTACCGTACAACCACTCGTCTTGCATGGGAAAGGCTTAGCCTAAATCCCTCTAGTTGGTATGGCAATCACCTGGAGGCAGGTGTGCAACGGGACACTAAAAGATATATGTGGAAATTGAGGAATTGTATCAAATATAATAAGCGCTGTAAATTATTGTATTATGAGATGTGGCCTTAGTGTTCCCGTGGTGAGCGTCAGTACTTAGCTATGGAGGGTAATGGCTTTGATGGATCCGTGCTTGCCCTACGGTGTTAAGTTACGGTACCTTATTTGTGTGTACAACCTTTGCAGAGTGTAAATTTTATCTAGATAGTCGTGTCCACGGTCTTGGACGGGTTATGGTTCGGTTTCAACAACTAGATGGGTTGGGATGAGTAGAAACATGAGAGTAAGTGTGATTTTGGAAATGAATGGTTGTCTACCATGTGTTGCGGGAACAGAGGGTTCAGTAACACCTAAAATTGTGACCAACCTTTTTCAGAATTACTATTATATATGGAAAATATATGTCTTTCGCAAAAGTTTTTATAAAATGAAGCCCTGCATGGGTAAAAAAGATAGCTTTATGCAAATAAAACCAAGCCTTATCTTATCCATATACATATACTGTTATCCCATTTCGTAGGATAAAGTTGGATTTGCTGAGTACTTTGTACTCACCCTTGCTTTGTTGAAACAGAGGAAGATCCGAACTTCAACCCTGACGTGGCGTACGAATAAGGTCGTGTCTGCACCCAACTAAGCATGTGGCATTGTGATTCGCCAGATGTTTGACGATTTCTTTTGTTTCTAGGTCTGTTGGACCTGTATTATGTTCTGGTTACTTCTAATCGTGGCATGCTTTCATTGTCCACGCTTGTCGAGACTACTGCACTGAGACTTATTTGATGTAATAAATGTGTTACTAGCCTCCTGGGACTAGTATTTATTTCACACTTGAGTTCCTGGATAATTAGGGGCGCTTCATAGCTGCGGCTGAGGGGGGCGGGGGAGGGGGCGAGGGTGGGGGAGGCAAGGCACGGGCAATGGAGAAGAAGCGGTGGGAGGAGACGCTACGGGGAGAAAGGAAGGGTGACTGACGCTTAATCGAAGCCTTAATCACCTGACCTCGAGACAGACCCTTAAGAAAAAAGAAGAAATAAGTGTCATTTAAATAAAAAATCACTCTGATTATTTGAACTTATCAGTCCGGCTTATCAGGCATGGTACAATGATTTTCTCTCATAACAAAACAGCATCAACGAGCTTATCAGCTGCAGAAACTATCAGCCGAACACTTATGTTCATCCTTTGATAGTTCTTTTCTATATCTTGTGTCTATTCTAAAGAGCTAGTCTTATTCTCTATAAATCTAGAATATAGTATAGCTATATTTAAAGATCAAGTCAAAAAATCTGGAGATTATTTTTTAATAATAAAATAAGTATTCTTAAGTTTGGAAGGATACAGAGAGTCGTGGTCTGATGCAACGGCGCGCGGCGGGACCATCTCGCCGGAGCCAGCTCCTGAGTCGCCTCCTGCCGGCCGGACTCGCGAATCCCATGCCGTCCGCCGGCCTGCGGAATCACGCCTCCCACGGGGCACGGGCGCTCTCTCGGTGCGTCCGACGCGCCGTTCTCTCTCGTGCCGGCTCCCCCGTCGCCTGGAACTTGGACTCTTGGAGCAGTGACTGCAGCCGCCGGCACTCGCGCCAGCATTCTTATTCTTATTAGTCACCCCGGCTCAATTCGGATCCGTCCATTCCCAGGTTCGCCTCTCATACCCCCACTGCTTCCAATCCTTCCAGATTGCTGGTAAATTTGGCATCCAACATGTGGTGAATTGTTTGTTTCACTGCCTGCCATACAATGATAAAATCCAACCCAGGGGTAGTTTCGTTGCAACGACGGAATATCTGGACGGATATGCAAGACAGTTAATTCACCTCCTTTGCGATTCTATGACTTTCCAGTTGCCACATTGGAACTAGGATGAGTATCCACAGGATGTGTCTTGTTCGTCTGAAATATTGTTGGATGTCTTACTGCTATTCTCATGGCACTTATTTGTGCTGAAGTAATGAAATCGCAGTGCCTTAACTGTTCTAGGATTATAATTTATGATTTCTATATCAAGGAAAATTGTAAAATTCAACTAATACAACATTGTAGTGAATTACACTGCGGTAGATGAGCATAGTGATTGCTGAGCATTGCTCTATATTGACCCAGCTTGTGCTTTCAAAATTACAATGCAGTTCTGTATGAATGCTATAGCTAATTTGCAGGGTTATGAGCTAATGTATTCTCCATCCACTAGTTGTTTTAAAAATACCGGTACTGGGGCCACGCTGACATCTTGAATGCCCTGCAAGATTTGAACTATTTGCCGCATGGTTGGCCTGTGAGACTCATTGTCCTGAATGCACCAGCATGCAACCTTGCATGCTCTCTCTAGCTCTTGAAAATTCACGTCATTTAGTCTCTGGTCCAGAATTTCAGAAATGTCACCTTCACTTATCCTTATTGTGGCCCACACTGGAAAGTACCTTATGGTTCCGTTCTCCATCAATTCTGAATTCCTTCTGCCCGAAATTATCTCAAATAACATCATTCCGTAGCTGTATACATCTGCTTTTGGTGTTATGGGAAGACCTCCAATCCATTCTGGTGCAAGATACCCTGCTGTTCTCTCTCATAGTTGTCAAGGCCCTGCTAAAATGTCTATCCATAAGCTTCGCCAAACCAAAGTCAGCCAGTTTTGGACTGAAGTTTACATCAAGAAGTACATTTTCAGGCTTTATATCACAATGTATGATGCACTCCTGGCATTCATCATGGAGATAATGTAATCCCTTTGCAACACCTAGAATAATTAGGAATCTGGTATTCCAATCCAATGTCTTCTCATCCTTGAAGAGATGAGCATCTAGAGATCCATTCACCATAAAGTCATAAACCAACATCCTTTCGGCTCCTCTCAAGCAGAACCCACTGAGGTGGACTAGATTATTATGGTGAATTTTCCTAAAGCCCTCACCTCGGTGTGAAATTGCTTCTCTCCTTGTTTCATGCCTTGAAGCTTCTTGACAGCTATTAGTTTGGAGTCTGGGAGCAATCCTTTGAACACTGAACCAAAGCTACCTTGCCCCACTTTATCTGAAAAATTCTTTGTGCAGTGCTGCAAAAATGAATAATCATAGACGACGAGAGAGTAATTATCTGAGAAAGCCTTTTTAGATGAAGTCCTTTGAAACATCTTAACTGTTATGCTAAGAGCACATAGTGCCATAAAAATACTACCCAGCACTGCAATTAACACAATAAGCCTAACATGGTGTGCCTTCTTTTCACTATCTTGAACTAGAGTATCAGATGCTGCAAGACGTATATACATATCTAAACCATCAGTATTACCATTAGGTAATTGTTTAAGATCCCAGAGTTCACTATTCCAGATATTGCAATCCTGTTTATGTGCATATGCAGTGCAAGAGCAATTACTCAGGCATATAGATCTGCACTCCTCCATGCTTTGGACTTTCAGTTTTACTGGGTTTTGTGAAAACTTGATGTTGGTGATCTTGAGAAATGCATCGCTCTCTTTTGTGTCAGTTGATTTATTTGACTCAGCACATTGGATATCTGTTTGCCTAACACATCCTTGACTCCATGCTCGAAGATCCCAACTTCTTGCGGAAGCTGGTCTAAAACCTGGCAAGCAGAAGCATTGCTCATCAGAACCTGTCCTGCAGACACCAAAAGGCCCGCATACAGAATATACGTCACATAGAGCTGCAGGAAAATACCATTCTATTATCCATTCCTCTGAATCACTGGACCATGTGAGACGTTGGAGTTGACCATTAATGCTTAGAATTATTCTTGTGATTATTGACACATCCTTCGTGGCCCACCGAAACTTCAGCTCGCGACTGTTGTTAATAAAATCATATATGTAGTCACTCTTTAGTGGCATTCCAGGGATGGACGTGAATGCTTTGCCTGTCCAGTTCCCAGATTGCCAGTAAACTTCTGAGTGATTCCATATTGAGACATATTGGCTCATTGTAACTAGATCTGCGTGAAAGGAGAAAGGACCTGGTGCAGGATCTTCTTGGTTCTTCCAAGAAACACGGTTCTGGTATTCACGTGTGATCTTGTCTATGCCAAACCACTGCCCACTCACTACCGTGTCTGTTGGATGATCAAAGCTTTGCCAGAAAATATCAGAAGAGTTGTATTGATCTCTGAGGATAAGATTTCCACTATCAAGGAGAACTGCAGTGCTAGATCTACTGGACTTCCTTGTGCTATTCGATGACCATATGGGTGCTCCTAGAGAGCTGAGGACTAAATTTCCATCCATAGTTATTGTAAGTTCTGGAAATGAAGCATTTGAGACAGGTATATCCCGATTGGCCACCCAAATAATAGTCCTCTTTGAAATAGTTCTGAACCAGATACCAACATAAAAGTTTCCATTATTACCTGGAGAGAACAATCCAAGCTCAAAATTCCCTTCTTTTGACACAATAGTTAGATCGCCTGAAAGAGGTTGGGTCCTGGAGATAGTATCAGTCACGCCAAATGTAATTGCGCAAAGATGCAGAAGAAATATGAGAGAAGTAAAGGAAAGATGTGTCCTTTTGGGGAAATCCATCACTTTGCACGAAAGTGTTGGATGTCTGGTGTTCAAGAATTTTATGCACTACTTAGGGTGTTATCTTGGTCAAGCAAAGTGTGTTTTGATTTCTTTGCTCTGCTGTCAGCTTTCTTGTTTGACTTGAGTTCACTTCTGAAATGGATGTCTTGATTTTTCTTTATGAATTAATGGATGTAGTTGTTCCACGTGACACAAGCACAACCATTCGATGATGTTTGTTAAGACATGAAACTTACACGCAGTTTAGTTAGAGCAACTCCAACAATAGCCCCACTCAGGGTCCCTACCTTTTCGTTTTTCTCTTTTTCTCACTTACTCTATGTATTCTACCTATTTGACCTAACATGAATTCAAACAATAATGTTGCGAATTTATAAAAATTGAATGATCTCATGGTTCTACATACACTGATTTTTTCGCGAATGTGTCTATGACACATATTTCATTAAGACGAAGCAGAATAAGTTTACATGAAGTTATGGTAATCAACAATTACCGAAACCTTCCTCACCCAACAGTTTAACACGATATTACATACATCCAATTCGCGACCAAAGCCAAACACCCTGACTCAACTGAATGGCGTCCCAAACACTGCAACTCATAAAGCCTCAATTAGCGACTGAATTTGCTTATAACCTGCACGCACCCAAATGTTCGCTTCCTCTATAATTTTGTACAGCAGCTGCCGAGAAGTGGAACTCTGCCTTCCAAACTTTCTGTTGTTTTGTTCCTTCCATAGCATCCATCCAACCAGCAGGAGCTCTACATACACTGATGAACAATATTCTAAAATATTAGCATAATATTTTAAAATAACATTACGAGATCAACGATAATATTCTACCTATTTTCTGGATCCGCTCACCAGACCTAGGTTCCGCCTGCAGACCTCAATCCACCGAGAGAATTGGAGGAGGTGCAGGGGAGGTGGGGGGCTCGAGTTTGGCCAGCAGGGACGATGAAGCTGGTGGCCGGTAAGGGCTTGTTTGGATACACGTATTTACCTTAATCTATTTGTGATGAGATCTCAGTAAAGACTTGTTTAGATGCATATATTTACCTTTTTACTCTAACACACGTAGATTGAGGTGGATATAAATGCATCTAAAAATGCCTAATGAGGGGGTGCAGGGGAAAATAGGGGTCTTCCTCCTACTTTTGAGTGCTCGAGTAGGGAGCCTGCTAAAATGTGGCTAGACATAATGTATATTTAAACATGTAGCAAAATCTACGTAAACTTATAATTTGGAACTAAGGGGGTAGAAAACAACAAAATATTGCAAAAGATATGATTGTAACAACAAAAGGCTGCAAAAAGATGTGAAACAATCATAGAAGCGTACTGGCCTCATTGCTTGCGGTCTTCAAATGTGAAACCACGTACTCCCACAAAGAGGGTCATTCTCGCTCTCCGATAAGTCAAACACTTTCAACTTTAACCGAATATATATAAAAATATTAATATTTATAATGCATAATTAGTATCATTAGATTAATCACTAAATATATTTTCGTAATAAATTTATTGGGAGATACAAATATTGATAATATTTTCTAAAACTTAGTCAAACTTAAAAATAGTTTGACTGACACGAACCTCGTAATGACACTTTTTTTCATGACGGAGGGAGTATTACTTACCTTGCCTACTCAATTATGTCAGCAGCAGCAGGAACATAATTACGAAACCAGATAGTGCTTCCTCACAACAAAAATAAAAAAAAGAAAAGTAGACAGTGTCTACTTAATTAAGTATAAGTATGCCACGATCATGGTAATATATAGTCCGCTGCAGAACTGTTATAGTTTTGAAAAAAATTTCGTAGACTCTACCACTATAATAATGCTAATTGCTCCTCTGTTATTGTCAACAATGCTTTAGCTCCAGGAAACACCGTTATTTGGTCGAGCCGCAAAATATTTTTAGTACACCTTATCTTGACTGAGGTAAATATTTATTTTTTACTCTATATGACTATAATCTATACCTCTATGTTATGTTCTTTACTTAATAAAATGATGTGATAATGAACCATTCAATAATTATTGATTTCTTAATTGTTTGAATGTAGATGGAATATATGAATATTGATTGTAGTCATGAGTATGATGATTGTTTTTAATAACCATTAAGTAATGGACATAGAGACATGTCCTCTAGGTAGCCTACATGTAGTCGTGTATTTGTCTTCATAAAAATTTGTAGTACATATTTTTGTGCAAAATTAATTGATAATTTTATAGTTTATATAAAACCACTAAATGAAATAGCTTCTGCTATGTCTCACTGTAGATTTTTATAGATCCTAGAGAAACACACCGTTAAATGTTTTAGCCTAATATTTAACACCTTAACCATGCCATAGTTTTAAATGTTTTATTATCATAATGATCACGTAACATAACAGAACTATGTTTGGCATAGGGGCGGAAGACTCGGTAAAAAAAAAAAAGGTATGGCGCTCGCCATACCTTAACCTCGTTGCAGATCCGCACCCTGAATCGCCAGCCAGTCGACGCTACCAGCCATACATGATAGATGCGAGGTCGCTAAACTGAATGATGAACGCAGCAGGGCGGAAGACGATGGCTAAATGAACCGTTACTTTCACATTGGGCCTTGTGGGCTGTGGCTTTGCCGCTTTGGGCTGGCAGCCTAATACCGGACATATGAGCTCTCTGGCTGTTTCTCTAAGTGTTTTTTTTCTTTTATATTTATTTTGGTTGAATCTTTGAAAAATCATAGTAAATTATGGAAAATATAAAATAGAAAATCCAATTTTGTTGGACTCTACATGAGTAGATCTACGCAGTAAACATATGATATGGTATGCTTTAGTAAAAAAAATTTGCTCTAACTTTAGATCTATGTTTTTCTGTGATTAATTCATAGCTGCAGTTTTTGTTGTCTTATTGTGGTGAAATTTTTATGGTGGACTAAATATTGTATGCTTGAGATGAAGTAAAAATTTCATACTCATTGGATCATGTATGATTGAGTTATAGATTTATTCAATTTTATGCTTATTAAATAGTTTTTAAATAGTTAAAGTGTGTAAAAATAGAAAATATGCGTCCTCTATGTAATATTACCATTGTTATATCATATGAACACTTAACATAATCATGTTGTCACAGAGAAAATTACACAGAGAACATATATTTTCTATTTTTACACACTTTTAATTATTTTAAACTATTTAATAAGCATAAACCTGAATAACTCTATAACTTAGTCATACATGATCCAATGAGCATGAAATTTTTACTACAGCTCAAGCATACAATGATTAGTCCACCACAAAAATTTCACCACAATAGGACTACAAAGATCGTAACTATGAATTAATCACAGAAAAGCATAGATGTAAAGATAGAGGAAAAGTTTTGTACTAAATCATACCATGTCATATGTTTACCGTGTAGATCTATACATGTAGAGTTGAACAAAATTGGATTTTCTATTTTATGATTTTTCTATAATTTATTATGATTCTTCAAAGATTCAGCCAAAATAAATATAAAAGAAAAAAAAGAAAAACCACCTTGAGAAACAGCCAAAGAGGTCATATGTCCGGTTTGAAAAGATGGGGGAAGAGTTATATCAGGTTTTCTAGTTCGGTAAGGAAAATCTGACTTTTGCGATATATGAGAGAGGCAAAGTAGACTTTTTCCTTGGTTAAGGCTAATAGATTCCTTGCTCGTTGGCAAGTGGCAGTCCAGAACCATGTTCCTTTGCAAAGAAAGTATAACTGGACTAGTCCGATTTCTTATGATGGAATCTATTTACTCAGGTTTAAATTTTGACTCAACACAACAACACGGGTATTCATATTTTTCTGATTTATTTCAACAACGCTTTAATTTCAATGGTAGGCCACGTATCCATTGTTAGTGAGACATCTATGGTAACATTCTTAATAAATGAGAGATACTTGTACAGATAAAGTATTTTGTGCGTGTTCGTAAAAGTGAGTATGTATAGATATTATAGGTGTCTTGCATGTAATACTGTGGATGGAAAAAAATGCCTTTCACGGTTGCCCGTGAATTGGAAAGGAAACCTATGGCCCCGTTCAACTTACCCCATATTTAGCTTGTTCGACTTCTTTTTTCAGCCGGAACAGTGTTTTTCTCTCGCAACAATTCAGCCATAACAGTGTTTTTCAGCCAGAATTCTGCCAACCGAACATGGCCTAGTTCAGTGGACCGTGTACATGATGAGCCTGTTTCGGTAGGCTGATTTCTATACCATTTCAGGAGCTGTTTTTGGCTCGTCCTAAGGTTTTACCTAGATCCTCGTGTTCAACTCAATCCACATGTATCGAGACTAACAAGGCCTGAGATGTATTGAAGTGGAACTTAAAAGAATCTACGCCTTAATCCACCTCAATACGTATGAATTAAGATAAATATTAGAGTACCCAAATACGTAAGGCATAAAGGGCCTGTTTGATATGGAGCGCAGGAGTGGCTCGTCCTGTCGGCCAGTCCCAGGCCAGCCACGACCAGGCCAAAGAACACAGGTGCCCGTTTGATTCACTGGAGCAAATGAGCCAGGGCTGTGTAGAGATTGTGTTTGTTTTGCCTGTATCCGTGGATACGGCTACCTTGCATCCAGAAGATGTAGCGTTACCACCCATGCTCTTTATTCAGTCATTTCGTCGAACGCATGCTAGGCCACCCATCCTGCTCGCTGCTCGCCCGCGGCCACCGTGTCCCGCTCGACGGTCGCCTCCGCCGCCGCGGTGCCCTGCTCGCTGCTCGCCCGCGCGGCCACCGCGTCCCGCTCGCCGGTCGCCTGCGCCGCCGCGGTGCCCTGCTAGCTGCTCGCCCGTCCGGTCACCGCGTCCCGCTCGCTGCTCGCCTGCGCCGCCGCGGTGCCCTTCTCGCTGCTCGCCCACGCGGCCCGCGCAGCCAGCCACGCCGCTTTGCACACACAGCCGCGGCACCCTGCTCCCCACGCGCAGCTCGCAGTCGCACAGGCACGGGCACAGCGCGACGAGCACCTCCATAAAGGCGGCGGCGGACTCGGCGCTGGTGCTGACGGCGCGCGGCCAGACGCGATGGCGAGCGTGCGGGAGGCAGCTCCCCCAGAACGACGGGCTCACCATCACGACCCCCGGCGTCGCGCTCGCGCTCGCCACCGTGTCGTACCTCTGGGCCACGCCCGGCGTCGCGTCGGGGTTCTTCGACATGTTCGTCCTCGCCTTCGCCGAGCGTGACGTGGATGTGGCCACCATGTGCTGATTCCTCGAGCAGGATATGCCGGAAGCGGGGGCGAAGGAGGCACCACACACGCGCGCGGCGGCGCGGCGGTGGCGGCATCGCCCAACGGAGAGGAAAGGGAGCGGTGGGTGAAACAGATGGACTCGGGAGGTGACTCGAAACCGCACGCGAGCGCTCACGCCGGCCTGGCCGCCGAGAAACGGACCTTTTCTTAGTTGCTTGGGAGCCATGAGAGAGAGGGTCTTTTGCAGCTGGCGAGCCGGGCTCGGTGATGGGCCAAATGAATCAAGCAAGTGAGATTGCAGCCCAGGAACGCAGGGACACCCCAGGGCTCCATATCAAACAGGCCCAAAGTGTTTGACACGGCTTCGGTTCTCGGAGGCAGAGCCGTGCCAACAGGCCTGAATACGACTGATGCTGAAAGTGTTTGTCGCGAGTCTATGGTCCCCGGCCCAACCCGTTGGTCTATTCTCCTCCCGTGTTAGATCTTCCCCCAGTCCCACAGCTCCACCTACCTGCCCTTCCTCCTCCCGTGCCCCTGGTCGTCTCCGGCGTATCCTGCCGCCGCTCCCGGATTCGCCGGCAGCCACCCGCCTCCTGTCCTCGTCGTGTGTCTGTCACGGTTCGCGATCGACTCCTCCCCCTCCTCAAGCCCTCCGCTGAAGTCGTTCCTCCCGCTTAGCTCGTCGCCGGCATCACCGGCCTCCTCTCAGCCCGTCGCTGGTATCTCCTTTGTCGCCCGCGCGTTCTTATCTTCCCATTTGTGCTCGTTCCCATTTTGCAATCTGCGTGGTGCTTGGAACGTTTGGATTGTGTCTGAATTGTTTTTAGGCTATTTCGATTGAAATGGTAAAACCCTCCTGTTAAGAAAGGAACAACAATAGTACCAAGGCTCGAATATATTTGATGCACCTTGATGAGTTACGTACATGGAACAAATCTTGTCATTTTTCCCCTTCCTGCAGAATTTTGATTGTGTGTCAATAGTCCTGATATTTTCATGTTGCTGTGGCAGTGAGAAGTGAGAACTCATTTAGCTATCTCTTCTAGCTGGAATACTCCAACTACGTGTTGGCAATGTATGTCGTGTTTTCTGTTTCAGCAATTAAATTGTATTTACATAACATGATTCTCAATCACATAGCTACCATCCATTTGAGGGGGTTCCAGTTATGTATAAATTAGAGTTGATTGTATTTGATGTTCATGGCGATTGATGAATACACTGCTTCCTCATGAAAAAGAATTTTGGTATATTTTATTCTGATATAGGGTTTTTGTACTGCAAAAATTATATGGGTTCCTGTATCCTAAATTCCTGATATATCCATATTCTGTTGTGCACGAATTTCATCTCCTTGTCCAGTTGTCCTAATCGTTTATCCAATTTGTTGTGTTAGCAGTACTAGCTAGCATATTCTGCTCTAGTTTGTTTAAGCCCTGTACTTAAATGGCCTCTTCAGAAATATATATACCTGTTTTTATGGTATTTCAATTAGAATGGCAAGCAAGAAGGTCACCTTTATTGAGGAAAGAAACAATAATAATGCTGAGGTTCTCATTGCTATTTGATGAACAACCTGCAAGATATATTTGATCCGTAGTCTTAGAATCATCCTTTTAATGTTTTCTTCCTAGAGTTCTGATCTTGTATGCCATTTTACTGATGTTGGTGTTGCCAGAAATAATAAAAATTCATTTACCAGTCCCATTTATACAAGTTATGTTCTAAATGGAGCTCTCCAATTACATATTGGCAGCACTTATTTCATTTTCTCAATCGAATTTATTTGCAAACCGATATCAAAATGAATCTAAACTGTTAGAGATAAGGGTGCGGCAGCCCCTGGACTGTTGCCTGGTGCCGTCCCTCTGGGCCTATACGCCCCTGTTGGGCCAATACACCCTATATGGCTAGGATAGAAAGATTGATCTCTAATAGGCAAGGATCACCATTGATTGGTTCTATTTCTATAAACCCTAGGTCATCCTTGGTCCTTGCCTATATATGTGTAGCATATCCTCCATAATCAATCTATTGTCTTTGTGCCTATTCCAGTTTACATAAACCAATATTGTTATCAGTGATTCAAAAAAATTTATAAATTAGAGTTCATTGTTTCCTGAGTTTGTGGTTGAATATGCTATTTTTTCATGGGCTGTGTTATGGACTCTTGATCACCTTGTCCTGATGGTTTGTCCATATGATATGATATTCAAGTTGTTGTGCCACCATATTCTTCCTGAGTCCGTTTATGCCCTGTACTTCAATGGTCTCTTCAGAAATTTGTACCCCCTCCCCTATAGTTATGGCATTTCTGAAATATTGAAGGTGACAACGATGGAGCTAGTGTAAACAGGTCGTTCGAAAGGACAGAAAAGTGTGAGCTAGTTGAAATGGCTTCCAAGCTCCAGGCCCTTTGGAACCATCCTGCTGGCCCCAAAACCAGTTAATTATCTTCTCATCTTTTGCTTTTCTTTTGTATCCATGATCAATTGCATTTCTATTTCCTTAATCTTATTTCGTCGTTTCTGATTGTGATCGTCTGCTTTGCTCTTATTACACACACTTACAGACTATATAATGATTGTTCTAGACTTCAAGCTAGCTTATACATATTTCTTGGCATTCCTTAGATGCATTATTAGTTACCGAATCTTGAATTTATCCTTATACTAGTCAGGACTGAAGAAAGTGAGCATGTGATGTAAACCATGGAACAATTTATGCAGACTATATAATTTGCAGTTCCTTACTAGGAATGGGATGCATATATCAGATGCTGCATTTGACTAGCTATGCTTTTGCATCACCTATGACTTCAATCAAACCTTCCCTACTGCAGTTCATTTCTGGGCTCCTACATTTAAATGGGGTATCAGCATCGCCAATGTCGCAGACTTTGCAAAACCACCTGAAAAGATATCCTATCCTCAGCAAGTTGGTATGTATAAGCTTTCCTATTAATTCATCTTTTTCTTGACTTCCGAATAATCGAATTACAAGACCACTACTTTGATTTGTTTCCTCATGCAATGTTAGTATGCTTATTTTGCTGTATTGCTTGCAGCTGTGGCTTGCACTGGGATCATTTGGTCACGCTACAGCATGGTTATCACACCAGTAAGCCCTCTTGTGTAAATGCACAATCCTTTGTGACTGTTCTTATATCTTCTTTGAAAAATTCAGCTTTTAAACCAACACCTTTCTTACTGCAGTGACATCGATTTAGTTATATAATTCTTCTAATAATGTAATCATATAGTACTTTTCTAAACATCAGTGAACTTTCTGTTGATGCAAAGTTGCTAATTGTATCTACTTTCTCCAGATGTCCTGTTGCCTAAGAAATTGTCGTGTTAGTTTCTTTTTTCTTGCTCATCTTGCTTCATAATATTATGAAATTGCAGAAAAACTGGAACCTGTTCAGTGTTAATGTTGCAATGGCCGGTACAGGCTTGTATCAGCTTTCACGCAAAATAAGGTTTGCTATGAAACCAAGCCGTGTCTCCTCTTTTACTGTTTGAACTCATGACGAGTAAGATAAGCAATGATTCATGTTAGCTACCTTTGCAGGCAAGACTATTTTTCTGACGAGAAGGAAGCCACCACGTCGCTTGAAGGATGATGACGGATGGGCTGCATTGCACGAAGGATGATGACGACAGACAAGAATAATCGATTGAGGAGAGGACCGTACATACGGCTTGGAGTCTGTCCCGATTCGTTGCGGATTTTAGACAGGTGCCATTTTATCCAAGATAGGAACCCATTCCTTATTTCCCTGTTCCCTTTGCATTCATGAAAAGACTGGTGCAAAATTTCAACCAAGGAAGTAGGAAGGAACAATAGTAATCTTTCGTACACATCATGCAGATACAAGAAATAATGCTATGAGCTCTCTCTATTTTGTTTACATGCTGTTCAGCCAATCCACATTTTGGAACACTTGGTTATTTCTGTTAAGCCAACTCTTGCAACACATCGTGATGCATCTCTGTCCATTTTCCATCTGGAGCTAGTCCTTTTTGTCATGAACATGCATAAGCTAGATTTTTTGCTTTATTAAATAAAAAAGAGAGTACATTTACATATGGAAAGTAAGTCCCTGATGGCCTGATCAATGCAGGTGAGCATTTCTTTCTTTCTTTTTTCGCTTGTGGATAATGTTGAACATTAGCTTTAGACCTACGAGTGTCATTTGCCATCCACGAGTAGCTTGTGCCTGTTTTTCTTCTTTTCTTTTCTTTGCACTTGCTAGTGAGTGCGGCGCCTTGGTGCCATGTTCGCTTCTCTTATAATCCGTTTTTTTATCTTGTTTTTTCAGCCGGAATAGTGTTTTTCTCTCACAACAAATCAGCCGGAACAGTGTTTCGGCGAACGGGGGCTCAATCGTCACGTACTCATATCGGCGGTGGACTGGTGGTGGTTGCGGGCTCATTGGCTACGGAGTAATGGTGACCTGAGGGGACACGAGGGTTGATGGTTTCAGACAACGATGATGCATACACAGCCGGAAACTTGGTTCTATGGCGGTGTCATGCTTGTATGAAACTGATGAAACGCGATGCTCCTCGGTCTGGTCTGTATCCAAGTTTGTTCCATTGCTGTTTATATACTACTGTGGCTGTTTGGCTCCAAGCTCCTGCAGCGATAGGAGGCAGGCGGTGTAGTAGTACATGTCAATTTTCAGGCAGGAGGCAGGTGGTGGAGTAGTACACGTCAATTTTCAGTTCAGGCAGGCGAGTACAGAGTTTTGTGTTTCAATTTTTTTTTGAAACAGTGTTTCAACTTTCAAGTTGGCTCGTCTGATGATGCCGGCCTGCCTTTCCCGGCGACACGAGGAAAACGCATGCCCGCCGCCGCTTGGCCTCCCTTTTCTTCGACTCTCCCCGGCTCCACACGAACGCGCGCGGGGCAACCTGTCGTGTCTGAGCCAGTAAGCTTGGGCCATGTTCAGTTTCCCATTTTCTAGCAAAAAGAAGATTCCTCATCACATCAAATTTGCGTTACATGTATAGAGTACTAAATGTTGACGAAATTAAAAATTAATTGCACAGTTTGGTTGTACTTTGCGAAACGAACGTTTTAAGCCTAATTAGACAACAATTGGACAATTAGTAGCAAATAAAAACAAAACTACACTGTACCGTACCTACAGTGTCGCTAGAGTAATTCGGCCGGCGCCGAATCGGCCGACCCAAGCGCGAAAGCGGGGAAATTTAAAAATTTGCCTATCTTTCCCAATGGCACTTGGAGATGCCAGCTTTGTTTTGTCAATTATAAATTTGCCACAGTAGACGGTGCTATATATTTGCCACTTTGAACGATGTGGCAAGCCAACTCACCCTTATAGCGTGTACAGGCTGTGGAAAATGACCCTTGTGCCCCTTTTCTGATCTGTTTCAGCTCATCTCCTCTCTCAAACTGTCTCACTCCTATGTGGACCCCGCTCGTCATCATCTACCTCCCGCCGACTGTTATACAGAGTAGAGCAGAGCACGTCGCAGGCTCGCAGCCAGCCGGCGCTTCGCGTGGCAGCGCACGGCTGCGCAACGTGTTGCACGCATGCGCACGGGGAGTGAGCGCAACTGCGCAAGCAGCATCCGCGTGGCCCGGTCGAGCTCGGACTCGAAGGTCGCCGGAGCAGCCGACACCGATGCGGCAAACGACAGCGCTCGACCAGATTTGGGCGAAGGTCCAACATTGAACTCCAGGGAGGGTCGCGCTAGTGCGTGGGTGCTCACCACGTGCTTGGTTGTGGACTTGTGGCAGAGGAATGGAGACACCAAAGCTCGTAGGAACAGCCACCATAGTCCGTTCGGAGCTCGAGATGGGCCACGGGGAGGCACACGAGCTGCCATGGACGCGGCATGCGCACAGCTCGAGCTTGCTGTGGCAACACGTAGGCTCAGTCGCCCGTTTTGTGCCGGTCGGCTTGGGCACGACGTGCGCCATGGACGCGAGCGGGGGCAGCTACTATGGCTGCCGCTGCTTGGGCCACGACCTTCGCGCGCCGCCTGGGCTACGGGCTCCGCACGCCGCGGGGCCGCAAGCTCCGCGCCGGCCACGTGCTGAGGCCGCGATGGGTCGCTTGAAGCATGGGCACCGTACGCAGGCTACAGGGTAGCATCCTCGTCGTCTCGTCCACGCACGCCGTTCCATGGCCGCGAGCTCCGCACGCCGCGTCGGCCGCGAGCTCCACGCGCCGTGCCTTGTCCGCGAGCTCTGGCCCATCCTTCCGTAGGCCATGCGCGCCCGCGCTGCCGCCGCCGCCGCCGCGCCATGGCCGCGAGCTCCCTGCCCGCCCCGCCGCCGCCCCCGCCGCGCTAGGCCAGCCCCGTGAGCCACGGCCGCGCACGCGCCCGCCCCGCAGCCCGCGCTAGGCCTGCATCTCCCAACGCCATGGACGGAGATGGGAGCGGGAGGTAGATGATGACAAGTGGGGTCCGTATGGAGGTGAGACAGCGAGAAGGAGAAGATGGCCTGAAAGAGATCAAGGCAGGGGCTCAACGGTCATTTCCCATGACATATACTCTAGTGGGTTGAGTTGGTTTGCCACGTCGTAAAAAATGACAAATATATAAAACTGTCTATTGTTTATGTGGTAAATTTATAATTGTGAAAACAAAGCTGGCAACTGGATGGTAAATTTTTAAATTTCTGAAAGGGTGTTTGTCCGTTGGTCACACCTCACGCGACCTGCTACGTACACGTACACCGCGTGTGCACGGGAGAACGGAGGACCGCATGGTTAGCTACCGCGTTCATGGCCGTCCGATCCCGTGCGGAATACCAACGAGCAATTGAGCTGGTTGCCTTCTTTCCTCAGTTTTCCTAACTACTACTAACCCGGGGTGTGTGTGTTTCTGTTTTTCTTTTCGGAAAGGGAAGAACCCGGTGTGTGTGGCCGTGTGGGTCATTGTGTGGAGCAAAGTACGTAGTACGAGCTTGCTGCGATAGTGACAGCCACGCCCATGAGGGAATAAACAAAGCCTTTTGTGCTCGAGAATGCATATCTATGACTTAAATCCTTTTAAATTTAATCAAATATATATAATAATAATAATTTTTATTATATGTAACAAATATTATTAAATTATTCGTGAAATATATTTTTTAATAAATTTACTTAGATAAGCTATTTTCTGTAAATCTAATTAAAATTAAAAGTTTGACCACATAATATACAAGATGTGTATTCCTTTTAGAATGGAGCGAGTATAATTTAGGGCCATTTAGTACATCTCTGTTGCACTAGTGGAGTAGTTTTTTCCTGGATTCCTTTTCCTGAGTAGCTTCACCAGTTAAGTTCAAAGCTATTTTGGTGGAACGTTAGGTAAAATAGCTCCCCTAGTAGATAAATAAAATAAAATATTCATAACACCCTTATCTTTATCTTTTTTTTTCATTTTCTGCCCTCATCTTTTTTCTTCTCTCTTATTTATTCGCTAGCGATGCCTCTCCGTGCGGGTGCGACTTATGCTCGTGACGCCTCTCTATATGGCTTCCTCCGACCACCCTAGTGTGCCTCGGCAGCCTTGCACGTCTGCGCCCTTTGGCCTCGCCTCGGCTCCCCGGCAGCCCTGTGCATCCATGCCCTGGCGCCCCGGCTCCTCGGCAACTCCGTGCTCGCTCCCATGGCTCGGCTCCGGGCCCCAACTGTTCGACAGTCTCATGCCCTAAAGAGTCCACGTTGAGTGATGGCGTCGCTCTGACCCGACAGCACGCTAGCCTTCGCCTGTCCCTAATTGCTGATGACGCCAAGGTAATTTCGCCATAGGCCCATCGATGTGAGGATGAAGCGGGAGGAAGCCACAATTTTTAGCTCCTCATCCCACCTGCGTCTCCTCTCAGCGTGATTCACAGGGATTCACACGTGGAGCTAGAGCCTCCCGACCTGTTTGGTTGGAGAAGAGGTGAAGGTATCCATGAAATTGCTAAGAGCATTACCAAATGCACCCTTAAAACTTAAAAGCTACTGCAGGGAGAGTGATGTCTTAATTTCTGAGGTCGAATCTAGAATAAACAGAAAAGCCATAAGCGGAACTTGGAAGCCACGGACCAGTAGGGATCAAGTATCTAGCTAAGTAGCTATACAAAGTTCCTATTCGCTTGATCTTATCAGCCTGGCTTATCAAACATGGTACAATAACTTTCTCTCACAACAAAAACAACTTCAACTGGCTTATCAGCCACAAAATCCATTAGTCAAATAGCTTTACTAGTGTTGTTTGTTCTTTCGAATCAAATCGTCACGCGCAGTGGCAACCGTAAAACACGAAACGACCGTGCTAGGTCGTTCCTCTCGTCCTTGTCCTGTAAGTATCTTTCTTTCTTTCTTTCTTTTTTAAAAAAAAGACCTTTCGAATCCTAGCTTCGTGTAGTCCCTAGCATGTTAAATTTTGACCACAAGTCATCCCACAACGTTGTTTAGATGCTGAAGGCGCCCCTCCCCCTCTCTCTCTCGCAAATCATATACTCTCTGCCGCGTCTTTTGAATTTAGAACAAGTGGCCTCCCACGCAAGTCTAAAAGCTTACCCAGATGCTGTACATATATGATTTTTGGAAAGAAAGAAAAAAAGGGAGCCTGCGTCCCCGTCCCCGTCCCCTGCGGAATCTCGGAC